AAAAGTTCTGAAAAGAGCATGAATTCTGTATTTATTATCTTTAATGTTAATATATTGATGTGTTTCTGTTGTCATGTAATTGTTGAGAGATTTACTGCTGCCACCATCTGTATTAGAGGGGCAAAAATGGCAGGGGTGGCCACAGGGGTGGCCAATGATTGGCTAAGGGTGGCCATGGCCCCCCATCTAGCTCCACCCCTGGGTTGTAGGAGATGTTGCTCTCTTTGTTATAAATGGAGGATATAACAGTTTCTCTCAACAGTGACATGGGTACAATGTTATCTGTAGAAAAGGATGTATTGATAAAATAGGCTGAAACTGAATTTTCTTGTTAATTCTTAATAACAAGTTAGCATTAGCTTGCAGTGCAGTTAGCCCTTACTGGAAGTTAGAAAAGCAGCTGTTTATTATTGAACTTAGACAAATTTAATGTATACAAAACAAATTTTCATTGCATACAGCTTACAACTAGGGTTGCCAACCGTCCCTTGAAAAATGGAATCGTTCCGTATTTAGAAATAGAAGTACCTGTCCCTTATTTAGTGAAAAAGGAACGCACTTTGTAGCGCATTACTGTGAGAGCAAAAAAATAGTCAGTAAAAAGCTAATGGAAAAGGAACAACAAGGGCACGTTAGATACAAAACTTACGGTAAACTTGTTCCGGGGCCGTCCTGCATTGTAACCAATGAGCTGACAACATACAGTATATGTAATGATCCAGAATACCATCATCCTCATAGTGGATTTTTTTTTACAACTGTAGCCTACATTCATTGCATTTAAGGCACAAATATGTTTACAAGTTTGCACAAGTTTGCTGTTGCACCAAAAATGTGCACAATTAATTTACTGTTTTATATTTATTTTTACAATTTGAAGTTAAAGAATAGTGATAATGAAATAAAAAAGGAAACCCAGGCTGCTCCGTAGAATACAATTTGAAACCAGTATATAAAAAAAACAAAAACAGAAAAGAGTCTGTTGCTGTTTAAACTGACCCCTCTGTTGAGTTTTAGGCATGGGTGAATTAGAAAGTGAGTGACTAGGAACAAACAATATCTGCTTATTGTGCATTATGTATACAAACAAAACACATATTGATCTAACATAAAAAAAAAAAAACATAAAAATTGTATATGTTTGTAACGTGTGTGAGGGTGCATCCTTTACAATCAAAACAAATGTTTTCCTCTTCTGAGGTCTCAGTTTGGTAGGTTTTGTCTTTGTTTTCCACTGCTTAGACAAGCTGTAAGTTTATAAAAGAACATGAGTTCAATCCTTTTTTTCATTTTTTTTTTATATGCAAGGGGAGGGTTTTAACAGTTTTAAGATGTGTAACATCCATTCCAACATGTCAACCACTGTTTCCCTAGTTGTATTAGATTTTGCTCTAAAATTAGTTGAGAAAATTTGCACAATTTTGAATTCTCATCTGACATTAGTCTTATAATACTAGCTGTATGCAAATTCTACTGTCGGTCACAAAAATTATATACTTACCTCTGTTTTTTTTTTTTTGTTTGTTTGTTTTTTTTTACAGGGAATTGGACTATACTCACTTTGGCATCCCTCCTGGGAGGGTAAAGGTGACAGTGGCTGAATACTAAAAGATTTACATGACATCTCTTCCCTTTTTGTTGGAACTGACAGTTTTACAATCATCCCTTGTTTCCATATATTTCAAGATAAAAGGAATAAGGTCCACCTTTTTCCCGTTGAGTCTTCTTAAAACTTTGCCTGAAGTTTTCATGCTTTAGTGCCTCCTGACCTCTTAGGGCTACACAGAAAGGATACCAGTGGTTTTCCATTTTGCAGCTGCAATAGTTGGAGGGTAACAGAGTTAGAAATACTTACATTGGACTTTGTTATTACTGAAATCATGTGATTTTAAAAATATAAAATTCAAGGATTGTCATTACATTACTATCCCAGTATTTGCTGTTATTAGGACTTCCTTCTTCCTATAACTGCATGTCATGGGGTATAATCTCATCTAACCGAAAGAGTCAAGTTACATTATAAAAAGATAATCCCTGTTTTTAACAAAGAGGGATTATGTAAAGCTGTGTATGAGAAGTTTGTATTTTATCTGCAATAGACAGTGGTTAGCTGATAAAACCTGCTACTTAAACGCACTTCATGGTTCCCCTTTCCTTGCAAGAAGCCTATCTACCTATGTTTTATTTATTATTACCGTATATATTTTATCTTGTGTTAACTGACTTGAAAGCAACGTTGGTTATTGTTTTGATCTGCTTGAACAAAATTATTGATTTTCTCACATTGTTTCCACTTAGATAACTCTCAGATAAAGTATTAGATAACATCTTGCTCTGTTACGTGGATGTTCTGTGTTATGTTCAGTCACTGTGGTTCAAATTAAAAGTCATGTGGTGATGTGTTTAATGCAGGTGTTCTCTCTGTAACAATAATCAGGTTTTATTGGAGTAATCTGGACTCTTTTCTGACATGTCCCCTAACCTGTCCCCACCTGTCCCCACCTGTCTGCATGGAAGCAGGTCTCTCCTTGCTTCAACACTTTAGCATGGAAGCAAGGAATTATGCCTCTCGTGATATGAAGATCTTATCAGGTGATTAGCAAATCCTGTGTGGTCATTACTCAGAGTCTGCATAACTGCAGAGTAGCTGTTTGTTTTGACTGTCCCTACTGAAACTAGGCCACACGGTAGTCTGCTGTCTTTGTTTATATGACAAGGTGTTAGTTAGGGATAAAGAGTTGGCATTATAAAGCCATAACATATACTGTAACTGCTTTTAGTATATAAATATTTACGACACAAACTTTGGAGTCTTGATAAAAAATGTTAAAAGAAATAAAAATGTTTGTCTGCAATGTTCTGATTTCCTATCAATTAAAAGGCTAGTTTTATTTACCTTGTGCATTCTCTATGTAGACTGACTAGACTCACGCTCTGGGTGGAGACTAATAAAAAGGCTTAGTCATAGTGATAGAAGTAAATAATACCATCATGTACCATCATATCATAACAGAGTTTTATAACTTAATGATGTTACAAATTTCAGAAGGATCTCATGACAGACTTAAGGCTTGGAAAGAAGATTTATCGATTGTGTTAATAGAGGAAGATTGGCAGACAGCATGTAAATTGGCCCACACCAGCTCTATTAACACATCTCTAAAAATGATTCAATATAAATGCCTAATGCAAATTTACATAACACCAGTAGACCTCAATAGGTATAACAGGCAGATACCTGATGTATGTCCAAAATGTACAGGGGATAGAGGGACTCTGGCTCATTGTATGTGGCATTGCAGAGAAATTATACAGTTTTGAAAAGAAGTACAAGGTGCTATAGAAAACATCATTTCTAAACAAATAATTTTTGAGCCAAGGTTGTTTGTGTTTGGATTATTCCCTGAAAAACACATTTACACAAAAAATGAACCAGTGTTTATAAACTTAAGTTTGATTATTGCAAAGAAATGTATATGTATATTTTGGAAAAAGAC